CAATCTTGCCGACTGGATAAAGGTCTATTGGATAGCAGGGTGTTCATAAAAACTGGGGTGGTTCTAGAACTACCGGTACCTTGAACAAACTCTGGGGTGGTTCTAGAACTACCAGTACCTTGAACAAACTCTGGGGTGGTTCTAGAACTACCGGTACTTGAACAAACTCTGGGGTGGTTTTAGAACTACCGGTACCTTGAACAAACACTGGGGTAGTTCTAGAACTACCAGTACCTTGAACAAACTATGGGGTGGTTCTAAAACTAGCGGTACCTTAAACAAACTATAGGGTGGTTCTAAAACTAGCGGTACCTTGAAAAAACTCTGGGGGTGGTTCTAGAACTACCAGTACCTTGAACAAACTCTGGGGTGGTTTTAGAACTACCGGTACCTTGAACAAACTCTGGGGTAGTTCTAGAACTACTGGTACCTTGAACAAACTATGGGGTGGTCCTAAAACTAGCGGTACCTTGAACAAACTCTGGGGTGGTTCTAGAACTACCGGTACCTTGAACAAACTCTGGGGGTGGTTCTAAAAGTACCGGTACCTTGAACAAACTCTGGGTGGTTCTAAAACTACTGGTACCTTGAACAAACTCTGGGGTGGTTCTAGAACAACCGGTACCTTGAACAAACTCTGGGGTGGTTCTAGAACTACTGGTACCTTGAACAAACTCTGGGGTGGTTCTAGAACTACCGGTACCTTGAACAAACTCTGGGGTGGTTCTGGAACTACTGGTACCTTGAACAAACACTAAGGTGGTTCTAGAACTACTGGTACCTTGAACAAACACTAGGGTGGTTCTAAAACTACCGGTACCTTGAACAAACTCTGGGGTGGTTCTAGAACTACCGGTACCTTGAACAAACTCTGGGGTGGTTCTGGAACTACTGGTACCTTGAACAAACACTAAGGTGGTTCTAGAACTACTGGTACCTTGAACAAACACTAGGGTGGTTCTAAAACTACCGGTACCTTGAACAAACTCTGGGGTGGTTCTAGAACTGCTGGTACCTTGAACAAACACTAAGGTGGTTCTAGAACTACTGGTACCTTGAACAAACACTAGGGTGGTTCTTGAACTACCGGTACCTTGAACAAACTCTGGGGTGGTTCTAGAACTACTGGTACCTTGAACAAACTCTGGGATGGTTCTAGAACAACCGGTACCTTTAACAAACTCTGGGGTGGTTCTGGAACTACCGGTACCTTGAACAAACTATGGGGTGGTTCTGGAACTACCAGTACCTTGAACAAACTCTGGGGTGGTTCTGGAACTACCGGTACCTTGAACAAACTCTGGGGTGGTTCTGGAACTACCGGTACCTTGAACAAACTCTGGGGTGGTTCTAGAACTACCGGTACCTTGAACAAACTCTGGGGTGGTTCTAGAACTACTGGTACCTTGAACAAACTCTGGGGTGGTTCTGGAACTACTGGTACCTTGAACAGACTCTGGGGTGGTTCTAGAACTACTGGTACCTTGAACAAACTCTGGGGTGGTTCTAGAACAACCGGTACCTTGAACAAACTCTGGGGTGGTTCTGGAACTACCGGTACCTTGAACAGACTCTGGGGTGGTTCTGGAACTACTGGTACCTTGAACAAACACGGGTGGTTCTAAAACTACTGGTACCTTGAACAAACTATGGGGTGGTCCTAAAACTAGCGGTACCTTGAAAAAACTCTGGGGGTGGTTCTAGAACTACCAGTACCTTGAACAAACTCTGGGTGGTTCTAGAACAACCGGTACCTTGAACAAACTCTGGGGTGGTTCTGGAACTACCGGTACCTTGAACAAACTCTGGGGTGGTTCTGGAACTACTGGTACCTTGAACAAACACTAAGGTGGTTCTAGAACTACTGGTACCTTGAACAAACACTAGGGTGGTTCTAAAACTACCGGTACCTTGAACAAACTCTGGGATGGTTCTTGAACTACCGGTACCTTGAACATACTCTGGGGTGGTTCTTGAACTACCGGTACCTTGAACAAACACTAGGGTGGTTCTAAAAGTACCGGTACCTTGAACAAACTCTGGGGTGGTTCTAGAACTACTGGTACCTTGAACAAACTCTGGGATGGTTCTAGAACAACCGGTACCTTGAACAAACTCTGGGATGGTTCTAGAACAACCGGTACCTTTAACAAACTCTGGGATGGTTCTAGAACAACCGGTACCTTTAACAAACTCTGGGGTGGTTCTAGAACAACTTTAAACAGACTCTGG